ATGTCTGGTTGGTGGCCAATATCGATCAATAAACTGGCAACAATCCAATTAAATAATAACACATGAGCAGAAACTGACAATAAATCACAAACTCCATACAAGTCAGCCTTTAATCTCAACACCATCAGGCCTTGAAACTGCAACACATGTCACCATCTATTGTGACACGATTCCACTTTAAATTACGATATGAATTAGCCTTCAATTACAGTGGAGTAAGGCCTTTGATCTCACCCAACTCAGCCTTTGATCTCAATCAACTCAGCCTTTGATCTTGACACAGTTGAGCCTATGATATAAAGAAGTCCTGATCATTTCTAAAATATTACATTTTCTCCGTGTTCGGCTTGATATCAACGAGTGGTTGTACTGGGTTTGAGGAAACTGCTCGGCATTGGAACCAGTTCAGAACTGCTTTTTTTTTTTATAATTCCTGCGTTCGCAGCTGGTGAGGAGGAAAGGAGCGCGAGGCAGATCAGATGTGCGTGCAGGTGAGCGAGGTTAGAGTCCGCGGCGTTCCTTAACGTCCACGTCTATAAATGACTCGGCCGTCCAGCTGGGATCAGCGGCGGTCACCACAGTCCCTCCGACCCACGCACGTCTGAGCGCGCGCGGGGGGGGGGGTTGCTCTTCTCAAAAGTCAAATGTCAGTCGGGGAGGAAGGAGCGACAGAGACGGATAAACAACAATACTGGACTTTATTTATTTATTTATTTACTGCGCTGGGGCTATGACGGCACCATGACAACCATATTACCAATTAGCAGCTACAACAAACTACCAACGGCTTTAAACTCCCGTTTATTTATCCCTTCAGTCCAAGCTCGTCTCGGTGGGAATAGACCAAACAAACGGAAAGTTTAAATCTGCAACTAGTCTCGGTTTGGACAGTTTGGACAGTTTGGACAGTTTGGACAGTTTGGACAGGACTGATGAGCGGAGCGAGCAGAATGAATTGTTGTCGTTTTAAAACAGCTCCTCTCAAAAGTGTTGCCGTGTTTGTGTTTAAAATCCTTTAACCCCAATTTATTGCACGTACCCGACACTTTTCACTTTAATACAAAAGGAGAAGGAGTGATTTATAAATAGCTTATTCAAAAGTTTTTAATAATTTATAAAACCCTGTAGAGCGAAGCAGAATCACCGTTTGTTTTTTCATCCATTCAACTTTATTTAACCAGATGAATCACGTTGAGCCTCGGAGACTCGTTTACAAGAGAGACCTGTTTGTTGAGGCCGAGCTGCTCATTGTGCGATCGTTTATTCACCCTGTTGGGATCCGTTCTTCTTCCGTGCGCTTTTCAGCTTCTTTCTCGTTCCACAATTTTTGAGCCATTTCAACAAATCATAAATCAAAACGTTCAGCTCTTTCAGAACAATCCCGCTATGACTGTTGGTATTTGTGCATCTTTGGCTTTTTGAGATATTTCGCCTTTTCTTCCACTTTTTTCTCATAGAAAATGAATTGAGCTCATTTTACCTCCTTCAAATCTTTAGCTCTGTTTACAACCTTTAACTGCTGCTTTCACATTTTGTTCCGCTTCAGCTTCTTTCAGCTTCCTTGTGCAAATTTAAGCTCTTTTCCAGCTACTTTCAGATAATGTCAGCTGATTTTTTTTCAGCTGTTTTGTGCTCCTTTCAGCTTCTTTCTGTTAACGAAAACATTTTTATGCTTCTAACTTATTTCAACTTATTTATCCAAGTTTCAGCTTTATCTGCCATTTCAGCTACTATTTAGCTGTTTTATGCCAATCTTAGCTTAAACTTTTTTCCAGCCTAATTCAGCAAAAATGTGTTCTTTCCATTTTCTTCTGGTAATTTAAGCTTATTTCTGTTTAGCTACTTTTCAGTTGTTTTTTTTGCTCATTTCTGCTTCTTTCAGTTCAATTGGGCAAACATGTTCTTTCTGCTTTCTTCTCCTAATTTAAGCTTGGTTGATCTTTTCAGCTACCTTTTCAGCATTTTTAGTTAATTTCAGCTGTTTTCAGATAAATTCACGTTTTTCGTGGTAATTTCGGCTACTTTCAGCTTAACTTGTTTCTGCTCATTTCAGCTCGTTATGTTTTTGCAGCTTTTTTCTGCTAGTTTCAGCGTTTTTTTGATATTTCAGCTGTTTTAAACTAATTTGCGCCTTTTCAGCCAATTCAACTCTTTTTAGCTCATTTCAGCTCTTTCCGCTTTCTTCTGGTAGTTTAAGCTTCTCTTTGCTTTTTCAGCTATTCTTTAATAAATTAATTTTAAGGCAATTTCCTCATTTATGTTTATTTAAAACAAATTCAGTAAATATGTTCTTCCTGCTTTCTTCTGCTAATTTATTTAGGCTTGTTCGTCAATTTCAGCTACAATTCAGCATGTTTTTTTTAGCAAATTTCAGCTGTTTTTCAGCAAGATCTTCTGCAATAAGCATTCACACTGCATTTTCACCGGAAATGCAATTTCTCTAGTTTTGATTAAATCGGGTAAAAAGTTTATTTTCTAATTGGCACAACAAATAGTTTCTACAATAGCTCACGTGCAGGTAACTCAGACACCCGTTTAATATTTAAAGTCTAAATTTTAACAAACGCAGGTTAACAGACGGAGGTTGGTTCACTATTTGGCAACTAAGGAGTACGGTAACTATTCTCTTTGTTTATTAATGCACTGTGACTAGTTTAGTTGTTTATATGTTAATTATTAACTGCATTACTGACTAATAATCAGTTACTTATGATAAGTGTATACTCTTATTGTGAAGTGGTGCATGTAAACAATCACGCATGAAGTTCACATGGCTGCAGCAGACGTGCTACAGCTAGCTGCTGCAGCCATGTGAACTTCAGGAAAAGTTTATAAAAGAGCGCTTGTGCTCCAATCAGAGTTATGACGATCCACTTTGGTCTCGGCACCAGCAGGACCAGCCATTAGCTCGTCAGGCTGCTCACAATTTCACTCCATTTTCTCCAAACTGAGAGTCGTTCAAAGGGGGTATCTGCAACAGGTAAGATATTAATTGCTCATCTCATTTCTCTGTAATTATACTTCATACCGTATGTCTATAAATGGCTCGTCTTATTTTTAGAGCTAAAGATTAGCTAAACATTTGCAGTCTGAACTTTGGAGTGGCTTTGGTGATGTTTGGTAAAGAAGCTGAAACTGAGCTGTGCGGATTAAAAAGTGGCCGAAATAGAAGCTAACGTTAGCAAAACAGTAGCTGAAATCTGAAATGAGTACATCTACAACTAGAATCATCAAAACCTCAAATGAGAACGCTCGTCAGAAAAAGCTCAACTTTGCAAAGCCCTAGCTGCTAGAAGCAAAAACGGACAAAACTGCAGCTAAAAGCTAAACGCAACGAGACTGTAGCTTCAGGTTTAAATGAGCTAAATCATATCGAAAAACTAAAACGAGCAAATCAGTAGCTAAAAGCTAAAAGGAGAAGACCTGTGCTGAAGCAGACTTGTTCTTAAATCTGAAAAGGAGCCGAGGCTCGAAGGTTTTACGAACAACAAACTAATATGATAACACAAACAAAAAGCCGACGGGGCAGGTGGAACAAAACTGCGATGTAAACAAGGAGCAGGCGAACAACAAACGGGTGACGGACAGGTGAGCGAGGGAGAACCGGGGCTTCAAGGGAGGAGAGCGCAGCTGCTCTGATGAGTAAACGAGGGACAGGACCGAGGGAGGAAATGACACGGAGGAAAAAAAAACAACGAGTTACTAAATGAAATATAAAAAACGATTACGACAAAACGGTTATACACAACTACAAAAAGGAACTGAACAAAACACGAAGACTTGGGACGGTGGGGAGACTTTTAGTAAATAATTCAAAAAGGAGAAAACTATTCCTGACTGACTGGTTGATGAGGAAGTAATCTGGTTTTTTTAATCCCACAAAAAAAAACAAAAAAAAAAAAACGCTGACTCAGCATCCCCACTAATAATTAAGGATCCTGATATTAGTTGAGCTCAACGAAGAGGGCGTTTGGGGACAAAATAATCCAGATTATCATCCGCCACAGACGGTGCAGACATTTAAGAGAACCAAAGGCAACGTTCTGATCACAGCCGAAGGAGGGATGAACCCCTCTGCAGCAGCCGAGGCTTCTTCCCGGAGCGTTCCGGTGTCGCCTTCTGCAAACAGGTGGACGCGAGCGCCGCTCGTGACAACTCGTTGGGTGACAAAACAAACAACGTGACGTCACGCCTGCAGGCGTGTTGGCGAGGTGCTTTGTACACAAGACGCCGTCCGTGTTGCCACAATAGTGACGCGTCACCGACAACAACGGCGTCCTCTCGAAACGCCACGAATGGAAGTTGAATCAACGCCACGCGGTCGTGCACCCCTCCTCTGACGTCCACACCGACACGTTTGGACCCGAGCCTCGTCGTTGAGCCTGATGGAGATCACATGATCTGAAAGGGTCAGAAGAAAGAGGTCGCCTTCTGGGGCTCTCCACTCTGCACACATGAGACACCTGAGAGAGGATGCTCCCTCTCCATAACACCCCCCTCGGATCGTTTTTCCCCGACTCGTGATCCCACACACAGAAATAATAAAACATCCATCATCTAGTGGTGACACTAATTATCTCGTGCTCCTCTGATCTGTACGGCATTCTTCAGGTGGACTGTCCCACCTGTAAACATTAACACACACACAGAAATGACCCATCATGTAGTGTGCCATGGTTTAAATTAGGCTGTTTGATGATGCACGATGAGGGAGAACCCCCCCACCCCGTGCCGTTTAGATGTGCATTTATTTTGAAACGCAAGCCTCTGCAGCGTTTTGCTCACGAGACAAAAAAAAACAAAAAAAACAGGGTTTTGGTGAAATTCTTGCAAAGCTGGATCTCCCCCCCGCGCGCACACACCCACCCCTCACTTCCTAGTTCCCAGCTGCTGTCACAGCTAACACCCTCCTGCCTCCATTAGAACCAGCAGTGGGTTTTTCCTGCGCATCGGGCGCACGTCGAGCAGTTAAATAAATAAATGTGCAGACATGTACTCACACTTCACCACCCTGTCCGTCGTGGATAACTTCGGCTCGTCGTTCGGCTTGTTCTCGGACATCTCCAACCCCGGGCGGTGTGAAATGTCTAAAAAAAGATAAATTTAGCAGGAAAAAAAAAAAATGTTGCGAGCCCGAAATGAAATTTAAAAAATATTTAAAAAAAAAAAAAACGGTCCCCCCTGCGCGCGCACGGCTGCCCTCGCCGAACAACTCTCGAGTCTATCCCGGAAAAGAGAGGGCGACCGCAGCGAGCTCACTCCGTCCTGTCGGCGGCCAAAAATACTTGCGAACCGGGAGGGGGGGTTACAATTTTACAGCTGGGAGCTGGAGGAGCTGCTCCGCCTGAATTACTGTTACTCTCTCTGAACGCAGGGGTGCAGGCTAATGCTAGCTTCGCAAGCCCCGCACCACGTGACGGATAGACCCGCTTCTGATTGGCTGAGAGCGATGGCTCGCTTCTTAGGCTCGGAACGTTCACGTCTATCAGTGGTGGGAAGTCGGGCTCGAGAAAAATGAGCCGACGCTTTTGGCTCATTTCGCACAAAAGGAACCCGTTCCTTTTTCGCTCTACTTTCAGGCGTCAGTATGGTTCTGAAATACCCCAGAAAATTTTATTGATAAACATTCAAAAACTTTAGTTTACAGAAAAGGATTTGGGCCATA